TGGCAGAGCGTGGCATCCAATGTGTGAACTCCACTATGCTCGCTCAGGGTGGGAAATACGACAACTACCACCTGCACGACCACCAATTTAACCGGAAACTGGTTTATCGTTTCTTGAGAGGAGCCATCACCTTCCACCTCAAATATGTTGAGCTCATGTCGAAGCAGGACGATCTCAAGTACTTTGTGAAGGAGTTCATCAGCAACGAGCAAGATCGTGTGGCCGCGGTCCATCTCTTCCCCACGATGGTTCAATTTCGTTTGGCTTTGCTCGGCACTCAAGAAGTCATGGAAGCCGTCTCCACCGAGAAGAAAACGGCAACCCCTGCCCAGGTCTTCGACGAGGCAGATGAGGAGATCCTCATGTGGGTCCATGCAGGAATTCTTGAGGCCAATGAGGAAGCCACCCGGAAGGGAAGGCCGATGCCCACTGCTTTCACTGATGATGAGATCAGCTCCATCGTCCCAACTGACCCTTCGATCGAGGACTACGAAGCCGAAGAAGTCAGGGCCCGACAATACCTTCAAGAAGATTTGAATCAGGCCGTTGCCGATGGTTTCTCAACTACAACCATTGAGTCGATCGAGATCAATCCGGAGAACACTGATGTCGATGATGATGTCGAAGTCGTTCCCGAGTTTGATGAGTGGGACGCGATCCTTGATGAGAAGATCATCGTCAATCCCCATGACGAGAAGGTCAAGGAAGATGAAATCTCGGACGAAAGAGCCAAGGAGGTTGAAGATCTCAACAAGATCATCGAGATCACATCCGCTGAGGCAAAGCCTTCGGGAACGTCGGCCGATGACCCTGCTGCTGCAAAAGATGCACCCGCAAAGGCTGACCAAGGAGGGGAAGACATGACTTCATCGAGGGTTTCAACTTGGAGTGTGATTGGTGGTGATGAATCCAAGCCCAGCGACATGACTTCTTCCAGGATCTCAACTTGGACCGAGGTTGGTGGATCTGAAGCCACTGCCATGGACGTTGACTCTGAGAAGAAGGAAGGTGCTGATGCTGCCCGGGAGGGTGTGCCGACTGATGCCGCAGTTCCTGAGGCTTCTGCTTCTTCCGAACAGCCTGCTGACAAGACTGCCATTGTCGACCTGACCAAGACCGAGAAGAAGGTGGAGGTTGACAAGCCAGTTGGAAAGCCGGCCGAAAAGAAAATGCCGAAGAGTGAAAAGCAAAAGGCACCAGAGTCAAAAGCGCAGCCCAGACAGAAAGCGCCGCGACTCAGTGTCGAAGCTGATGCAGCCCTTCGCAAATTGGAAGAACGACGGAACGCCAAGAGGGATCAGTATGGTTGGACCCCAATGACATGATCAACAGGATTCCCAAGGAGTATTGCGGCCAAGGGCGACTGAGATTTCTTTCCACAAAGTTATCTTATGTTCTCCGAGGGCACGCATTGAGCTATGGTGCTCGCAGCCCAGACATCGATCCCATGGATCTTTCGATGGATTTCGAGGCGGTGATGAAGACGATGGCCCACTACGTCTCCTACCCGAAGATCAGTGAGGTCCTGTCCATCGTGCGCAACAGTGACACCAGGCGCTTTCAGGTGAAAGTGGCTCAGCCCGATTTGCCTGATGCAACCTGGAAGGGTTTGCCATGGAAGGTTGTCGCCATCAGAGCTGTCCAAGGACACAACCGTGCAGTGGTGGAAAATGCCAAAATTTCATCGCTGGTGAAGGAAGTGTTTACTTTGGATCCAACCTTTACCAAGGCCGACCTCGACACGCCCAAGTTGCCAAGGACAAATCTTCGTCCAGACCTTGTGCCGGAGATGCTGGCTGCACTTCCAAGGGTTATCTACCATAGCTGCGACAGGCTCGCTATGGACAAGATAGTTGAACATGGTCTCATCCCAGGTGGCTGGCCCCAAAGGACAGGAAGGGCGCATAATTTCTTTATTGCGTCACATCCATGGGATGATTCAGTCGGTGGCAGAAAGCTCGCGGGAACGCGAGCCGGGAAGCAATACTACATTGCCTTTGACACCGAGCTCATCGTCCAAAGCGGCTGCCGATTGTTTCGTACAGACGAAGCAATCATAAGCCCTGACTGGATCTCCAACGAGAACATCATTTGCACATATGATGCTGTCAACAGGGAGTTTGCCTGGGTGAATCGCCCCTATGAGATCACGCGTGTGGGGTACAACAACAAAATGAAGACCCACAAGGACCAGGACACTCCAAAGAGAGAAGCACTGTCAAAGAGCCCGTATGCCAACGCCAGGGACAGTTTGAAGGCCTACCTCATGAGCGGCAAGTCCATTCGACCCGGCCAGATGCAGGTGACCGACTCTCCAGAAGAGCTTCCCCCACTTCTTCGTCGACGTGAAGGAACTTCAGGACCCTTTGAGGACAAAGTGACGTTGAAGATGGCCTCCTTTGGTGCCTTGTCCAATGCCGAAACCATTCGCAAGGGCAAGGGCCGGGGAAAAGGCAAGGGAAAAGGAAGCCGCCCGGGAGGGCAGGCCCAGCGCTCAACAAATGCTGAGGATTACATCTACAGCTCAAAGATTGAGATGCAACAGGTCCGATGCCACTTCTGCGGCGAACAGAACATTGAGGGCACCCACAAATGTCAGTCGTGCTTCAAATGGCTGATTGCTTGGTCGGATGGAAGAATTGCGACAGAGGTATGCCGGATGGAAATCTCGGCCAAGAAAACCAACAAGGTATTTTCTCTGGACAAAATCGATTTTGAGAAGCAGCCTCGAGCTCAGCGAGTCTCCGACCGCACCCGAGCAGATCAACGTCGAGCTGGACGAAGCAATTTCGGAAATCTCAAGGACGCTGCTCAGACACATGCGGGAAGATACACGAAGCTCGGCTTCAAGTCGATCCAGGACCGCATGGAGAAGGACCCATTTTATTTGTTCAACAATGCGGTCGGCCAGATCACTCCCGACTGTTGCCAATTTTTGGAGGACTTGGCAAAATGCATTGCCCCTGATGTCGGCCGTACCCGAGAGAAGCGAGAAAAGCAGCTGGGAACAGGTGTCAGCACTCGTTTGATTTTCATGCCAGACTTCAACAGAGACATCCGACTCCCGTTGGACGTTACAAAGGAAGCCATGGTTGCACATCATGCACGAGTTTTTACACTCCCACAATTTGCTGTTCTTGCTGCGGACTTGCTGAAAGCGAGGGGGGAACCCACGCCGATGTTGTTTGGTTGGTCTGGCTCAATGATGCCTGTGGATCAAGGGTCAGCCCAAGATTGTTTCTTCGACCTCGTCGATTTCGCGAAGAGGCAGTGGAAGGAACAATACAACAACATCAAAGGTGAAGAACACTCCTTCGTGGATGAAGCCACTGCATCAGATGTGGCTGATTTTCCATTGGCAAGGTCCTCCAAGACGGGTACTGGCGAAGGGCGAGAAGGATACCGGCGTCATTTTGACCCGATTCAGAAGCCAGCCAAGGGCAAAGGCAAAGGCTATGGTCAACAACAGCGACCAATCTTTCAGCAGGCCATTGAGTGCTGGAAGTGCGGTCAGTATGGCCACAAGTCCTTTGAATGTCGCAGTGGATGGAGCCGAGGGCAACAGTGGGGTTCGTATGGATCTTACTCAAGCCGCTCGGGAGGGCAGGCCCAATGGCAAAGCTGGAATTGGAATCAGGGCTACTCTGGCAGAGGATGGACTGCTGATCCTTGGGGAAGATCTACAGCATCAAGCTCCTCAGCAGCTCCTCCGGAGCCAGCGCGGCCACCTTCAACAGCGACGCCTGTGCCTGACACAACTCCTGCTGCCGGCGACCCTGCCCAAGCAGCCTCTGGATCAGCTCCTGCAGCAGAGCCTCCGCAGCAAGTGCCAAGGATGCCGCTCGTGATTGCTGAGGAGTACTGCGAGATCAACGGCCAGCCGCATTTCAAGCGCACCTACAATGATGGGACGGTAGAGTTTGAGTCGTGGTAGATGTTTTACATCTTGTGCCATGATTTTATGCCTACCGGAAGGTTTGGCCGATTGGATGAAAGCTGACCCATGGTCATTCAGTTCAATCGAAGTGCACACATTTCCAAACATGAAATTCCAACTTGATTAACTTGAAAAACTTTTCCCAATTGATTCAATGAGATTGACACCAGCATCCGATCCAATGCAGTAGATTGCGTGTATATAGCCGTGTACATTAGCCTGCTACAGTAGCTTCTAAGTTTCCAGGGCAATAAAGGAGTGGTAATGCTCCTATGCCTTGGCGGAAGCCAGGCCGATGACACTTTTGCTATTTTCAACCTGTGCAATGCTTGGATCCAAAAATGAATGCACCCGACTTTTACTTTCGCCTCATGCATCCGTAGAGCTGAGATCAACCGCACAACCATACTTTGTTTCCAGTGATGTTCAATCTTAGCCCGATCGCTCTCAGGTCACTTCTGGCGATCGAGTTTGCCTCTCCGCCCTCCGTTAATACTGCGGGGCGGCGGGGGGTGTTTTTATTGGGTTTCACTGGATATACTCGTTGTGCATGGCTCAAGAAACAAGCGCGCTAGTGTTGGTTACTTTTGGCTAGGTGACCTGTAAAACATTTTCATACATTTTCCTGACATGTTGTCCAGTGGTCAATTCAAATTTTGAACGATTTCTTACTTTTTATCTACGCTGTGCCGCTGTATCGTCTTGATGATATGGCTGTTTGAAAGGGACTGTCGCACTCCTTTGATCACACAGCCCATACAAAACGACAGGGACGTTATGAATTTGTGCGGCTGCCCCTTGAGCGGCTGACGGAGGTTCAGGCCGCAAAACGCGCAATCGGACTGTCAAGGAAGAGATGAGGCAGGAAACTGCGACAGATGTTGCTTCCAGTTGGAGATGTCCCAGGAACAGTTGGTCCTTAAGACACTTCAAACACATTAACACACTAGGGGTGACACGGCGACACCCTCATAGATCTCATATGTTCTGATATGTTCTGATACGAAACGCATGGTTTGTGAGTATCCTCCACGGGACCCTTGCAATGGTGGGCCATTTGGAGGTATGGCGGCAAGCCCTGCGACAAGGCCACCTTCGAAAAGGAGGCTGCGAACTGGGACGGAATCGGGCATGAAATGGTCTGATAATGTCTGATATAAATGATATGGATAGACAGTCAATGACAGTCACGTGTTCTGGACACGATGACTTCAGTTTGAGAGGAACCTGCAGAGAATGCGGGAAATCCCGTCATACCGGACCTAACTCGTCATCCAGCCCACTGCCCAAAGCTCTTGACAAAACCCTGCAGTGAGTACACTCTTTAGATGTTTTGCACATCTTTTCCCCTGCTTCTTCGATGCGTCTCATCACTTGGATCTGTTACATGCCAGCGTCCTGCTTGAGAGGTTTGCAACGGGCAGCAGTGCCCCCTGGACTGCAGCTGGAACGACTGGGGCGACTACAGCCCATGTAGCGATAGCTGTGGCGGAGGTGCTGTGGTGGAGGGGTTGTGAACAATCAGATGCCAATAGGATTTTAATAGAACGATGCTAAAAACTCTTCCGGGCCTTGAAACCATCCTTCCTTCCAAGGGTGTAAGCTCTCAGATCTCTCAGTCTCATGTGTTGAATTCTGCAATACTCCCCCCAACTGAGCTGCTCATTCCTGCCATATGCTCTGCTAGGAGGTGTAAACAGTGTAAACTTTTGCCGCTGTTTACACTTCAACACCTCTTGTGTTTCCATTGATGGCGTATGATTGCTTGTCTAGATCCGCACCGGACTATAGACTAGCAGGGCTAACAGTTGTATTTTGACATCTGCCTTTGTTTTCCTAGTCTCCACACAGCACCCTTTCCCCATGCGCTTTGTAACCTCTGACAGCAGGCAAGAAGGCGCGCCGCCGTACCTCCACTCCTGCGAAGTGGGGTGGCCTTCCGTGCAAGGGCGAGCCCAACGAAACTGTGCTTCGACTGCACGTCATTCGATGTCCTAAAGCTCATCCTTGCCCATGCTGAAAACACTCGCACAAAATTCTTGGCTTGTGGGTTTCGATGTGCCCTTGACTCATGCGTGTCGTATGTGGGCTGCAAGCTTCGAAGGTAGCTTGTGCTGTGGAGCTCTGCCCAGTGGATTGTCAGTGGGGTGACTGGCAACCTTGGAGCGATTGCTCCCAACCGCAGCTTGGATAGCACCGTGACAAATTGTGCCTTTCCAGAGTTCTAGAATCTGGATACTGTATATGGTCGTGAAGGATGAAAGGGGTCCCTTTGAAGAGATGACACGCATGACTCCAAGATTCGATTGATATTTGCACAACAATCTGCTTTGTTTTCTTTCTGTTTGTTCGTTTCTGTGAACTGTTCTATCTGAATGCAAGCCATCGCTGAACTCCTGGACATTCCTGGACATTCATTTCATTTGTACATTAATTGCGAAGGTTCGAATAGCGGCAACACCATTGTACTTGAACCCACATGTTGAAAACAAACAGCATCCAATGTTTAGCAAACTGGAGAGCCCTAAGAGGTAGGTGCCTCTTTCAGGGTTGGCTGCATCCTGTCTTTTCATGTCTTTCTGCTTTCATATTTGTTCCTAATTTGTCATTTTTTTGTTTAATCATTTTTCATCAAGTGAGATTAATTTCCAAAGTGCATGGTCATCCGCTGTCAGGTGTGGCGGTGGACGGAAAGAGCGGCAGCGAAGCATTGCGGTGCAGGGCGGCTATGGTGGTGTGATGTGCAACCCATCCGCCAAGGCACGGTTTTGGGTGTGCGAAGTCCTAAAACTGGTCCTTTATCATCACACCAGTGCTGCGACATTTGCTGGCTTTTTGCAGGCATCCTAGACATTCCTAGACCAAGCCGTGGATGTTTCATTTTTCATCAGACAGTTTACCGAAACAGCAGAGCTGGCAGAGCTGCTAGTGTTCCCAGGAGGCCATTGACTGCAACGTAGCCGACTGTTCTTCTGACTGTGTTTGGGAAAGTTGGAGCGAATGGAGCAAGTGTTCCGCTAGCTGCGGCGGTGGACCCCTGACTGCAATTTGGAGATTGACAGGCGGACCTGACATTGACTCAAACTTGGTGAACTCTGATGATCTGTGATGAAGTTTCTCATGGTTGTTGAAGTTTTGTCTTGCTTTGATCTCTCAAAGACCAAAGCAGTTGCAAAAATAGAAGAATCCAGAATCAATGGAAGACGTGTAGGGAACTGCATAAATTGCTCAGCTGGCCTTGACGGGCCAACGTCAGCCTTGCGATCACAACGTTGAGGACGCTCCAATCGCAGCCGGCAGCTGGAGAAGGAGGCGGAGGGGGAAGGCAGTTGCGCAGGTAAAGCGAAGGCGACTCGTCTTCCTCATCGTATTCGTCTCCATTTCCCCAGAACTCTGGGGCCCCAGGAACCCCCTACCAATTGGTTTCTGATTTGGTTTGCCTCGCTTAGCTTCTTTTAGAAACGTGAATAGACTGCTTTGCTAGGGGTGAGACATTCCGGGTATGATCTAGAGTGAAAGCAAGAGTGAATTGTTTGAATTAAGTAATTATAGAACATTATGGAACATATTTCTGGCTGATGCTGACAAGAATTCTTGGAAAAGAAACTGGTTGGACATACGTATTTGCAAGCGACACCTCTCATCCGACTGATGAGTTATGTGTTATTGAAGCTGATCTGTGGTATCTGGTCTATGGATGACTGATCTGATGATCTGAGGAAGATCGTGAATGCAATCAGGATCCTTGCTACAATGGTTGAACCTTGGCTGCAAGACTAGGTGATCTCGAAATCGCATGCTTTATCTGGAGATTTTGTCTACATGCGTGAAGTTCCTCTGGAACAACTTGGAACAGCTCATATTTTTTTCACCTCAACCATTTCATTGGGCTGCTAAGTTGCAGCGATATACCAAGCATTTTGGTTGCTTCATGAATACAATTTCAAGCATTTTGGCTTTTTTTTCCATGTACTAGGTGGTATTTGATCCATGTTCTATGAGTGGAATGCTCTCCATGCAACACTCATTTACATGATAGTTTGATTCTCTGTATCCCTTACATTGGTAGCCACTGTACAAAGCGGAAGTGGCAACATCTAGGTCTCCTCAGTGACTGGTCGATGTGGTCGCCGTGTTCAAAGACTTGCGGACCAGGGCAACGAACCAGGCAGAAGTCCCTTATTAAGGCGGGCTTCAGCAAGTCTTCTCTCTCTCTCTCTCCCAAATATCAACTATAATACAAATTATATGTATAATATATATATATATAAATATTATAATAAATATATATATATATATAATATTCATAATATATATTATATATAATATTTACAATATATACAATATCAATAATATATAATAATAAATATATATATATTATATTTGCAATAATATACATATGATTTATATTTTTGCAACAATCTATATATATATGTATTATATATATACAATATAATATAATTTAATGTAATATATATATATACTATGATATAAGTATAATATACAGTTTGTATAATTATATATACAATATAATCTAATAAAATATAATATAATTTAATTTAATATATAATGTATAATGTATAATGTATAATATGTTGTATATAACATACTATAATAAATAGTATATAATGTATAATATATAATATTTAATATTTAATATAAACTATATAATAAATAATATTATATATTATGTATAATATAATATTATATATAATATATAATATATAATATATAGTATATAATATACAGTATATATAATGTATAATGTATAATATATAATATATAATGTATAATGTATAATGTATTATGTACAATACATAATATATAATGTATAATGTATTATGTACAATACATAATGTATAATGTATAATATATGATATTTGATATATGAGATATGATAAGTGACATATGATATATGATATATAATATATAATATAGAATATATGATATATGATATATAACAATATATATATATATACACCGACTATATATATACATATTCATTTTTTCAAGTGAAACATTGTTTGAGAGAGGATAAAGAAGTTTTTGTCCACGCCATTGCCATGCTTTCCAGTGTTGGAAAGGAACCATCAAGACGTACTGTAGATTCCTGCTGGGGCACTGGTTCAAGGCAGATGCTGTGTCAAGGGAACAGCTTCAGCTTTAACTTCCAGTCTATTCACAAGCGGTAGACCGGCGGTAGGCATATTTGATCTTAATTCAATAACCTCACAGTAGGAGATGATTGTGAACTGTGATAAAAACACGCATTGTATCTTAGATCAAATGACTTGGTGTCTTTCTTGTCACAATCGAATGGAAAGACCTCGAGCGTTGCATCCAAACACCTCTTTATGACCATGCAGACCTCCCTGCGTCCTGCACCAGGAGCCCATGAATGGCACAAAGTGTTCGGCAGCCAACGACACCGAAGACTGTGTCACAGCCACTTGATTTCAACTTCGAACTGGACAGGGACTGGACAGACTGCCAAGGTCGGTGTTGGCGCAGAAATCTAGAAGAACAGCTCGCTGAAATCTTGCTGCACTTAGGTGGAGCTATCTGAGTGCAGTCCCACAGAGGCCAGCGCCGGATATGAGGAAATGCAGTGGGGAAAGACACTCCAGACCGAGTGGTGGCGGCCTTGCTGGGCCTTCAAAGAGAAGTCAAGTCCTTGCAAATGTTCACAGGATCACAAGAACGCTCAAAATGTTCCAGGACTCTAGGTAGTTCCTTCATCTAGTGTTGGAAAGCAGCGAAAAACAGCCAAGCCCGACGTCTCAATGTTTTGTGGTTTGTTTCCACTGCTCAATTTCAAGGGTTGAGACTCGTGCTAGGACAAGGAAGGCAAAAGAGGTATAGACAGCAAGGCTGGCAACGCAACCAACGCAACCAACGCAAGCAAGGCACATGGGATTCCTCATGGGATGGGAGAAAGTCAATGTGCTTGGGTAAATTTTTGAATACGAGAGGGGTGCCTTTCTCTGAGCATTGGAGTACTTTTTGCATAGCACTTTGCAAAGCAAAACGCTACCATGCATGTTGCTATCTAAATTCCGAGTCTGGTTAAAATGTCGCAGGTCATGCAGGTGCCACTATCCATTAGTATTCCGCTCATGGCTAGTTGCAACTTTGGACAGGTGGCATTGCAATCATTGGATAACTTGAAAGTTCTGCAACTGGCCGAGGCTGCAGATTCTGCGCAGAACACCACTGCCGCAAAGACGACCTCTGCTAATGTGCCGTGGTGGTTTCGTGCGTGTCCACGTCTCGCAGAATATGACAAACATTCCGCGCATTCTCATTATTATTACTATTTTTCTAGTGGCTTCAGAAGCAAGTCGAGCTGTGTTGTATCAATTTGTATCAGCTATATATATATAATATATATATATGGTGATCGATCTAAAGGTCCTTGTAAAGAGTTTTAATTGCGAAGACCGTTCATGTTATAGTGGGAACCCCCGCGAAAGTTTTTTTGCGAGTTCGCGAAAGATTTTTTTATTCACGAAAATTTCGCGAAAGTTGGATATTATGAATCATTATCATTGTATACATTACAGCTTGTTAAGGGCTACCACCTCCTGCCGCCCGGGAGTCCGGCAGGAGAATGGTACCGCACATTTTCCCTTCATACTAGTAGGTGGCAGCCAAGCTTCCGGCCACAGCCAAATACCATGGTCTTGAATCACATCCTTGCACCTGCCGTTGGTACTGCCTAACGTTGCTCCAAATGCAGCAGCCAAGCTTCCAAAAGTGAGGCTTGCGAGAGCCAAACACCAATGCCCCCGGTGTTTGCTTTTCCTCTGATGCCCCCCCCTGCTGATGGCTTGGGGTCTGCGAAAGCTCCGCGAAAGAGTTGGCGAAAGTCAAAGTGCATTTTGAAGGGAGTGGCCCAGTAAGCCTTGCAAAAAAATTGCCTAACCAGCAACAACCTGTTCGAGAAGTGGATTCCGTGATGCTAGCAGCATGTTTACAAGGCTATGAGAAGTTATCAGTGATAATTTGGTGTGATTTGGCAAGTGATGAATGAATCTTCATAAGAGGAGTTATCGCGCATAACATGGAGTTCACGAGAGATTCGCGAAAGAAAACTTTTTATTCGCGAAGAATGGCCGTTTGCAGATAAAGGAATTTAGATCAACCGCCACATATATATATATATCTAATATATAATATACACACATCTCTTTCATGATAACTTGCGAACCGCCGATCCTCAGAGGCATCCGGCAACACCTCGAACGCTCCAAAGGCACAAGAGGCCGACGCAAAACTCAAAGCCAAGGGTCAGGCCATCCACATCTCCTAACATCCACATGAAGTTATTATGTTTTTTGTGTAAAGAGCTGTTGACAGAAGAAACAATGGGTTTAGAAATCCCAAATGATCCCATATTCGCTAGAATAAAATTTGGTGGCATTCAATACGGACAAACACATTTCATTTTGGGGTCAGGTTTGATCAAAGAATCAAGTCCTGAAAGTCCTGTTTTCTGATCCTGGCAGTAAGATGCCTGTCCCGATGAAAGGTTGGAGAGGCCGACGAGAGCGACTCTCCGAAGACGCTGGACTCAAAGAGGCCCTTCAGCAGAGATGGCCAGGCAGGGCGTTTAACTTTAACCGAAAGGGGAAGCGCTTACCGTTCTGAGTGTCGTTTGAACAATGGAAAACAATGGTCGAACGAACGGATAACAATGATCCGCTATGGTCCACGATGGTCCACTTCACCAGGCAGACCTGGGTGGCGATGGCAATTGGATCACCACGAACTTCACAGATGGTGGCACCATCAATGCCACTGGGCACGCGTAGCTATACCTAGCTACTAGATTGTGGAAAGAGAATGAAACCAATGAAAACGACATAAAACGACCTGCTACTTGCTCCCACTTCTGCGGAATGCCCAAGCTGCAAAGGGTGTGGCACTGCACGTGAGACGTCGTGTGTATTAGGTCTCGGAGTCAAACAAGTCACTTGAGACGAACCTGACGGATCTCTTGGCCCGAGCAGCAGAGGGTGGAGCTGCCTGGATGCAACTTATATAATTCGCTTTAGTTTGGCAATGTTTGGTATTTGCATGTTGAAGTTTCTATATACTACCCCAAGATATTTGCAAAGCAGGAGCCTTCTCATTCTCGAAGTGCTCAAGTTAGAGCTGCTTTGCGTTCCAGTGTGAGTGGGTTCCAGTCCACTGTTTATGACTGATAAAGATAAAGAATGATAAATATATGTGTGTATATATATATATATATGAGGATTATCAGGTGATGAAGGTGGAAGTTGGAAGGCTCCTCCTGTCTTGTGAGGTTTCACATTGCATGGTCTACCAACGGCAGCCGGACGTACCCAAGATGCAGCAGATGGAGGTCTTCGAGCTCAAAGGGACACTTGGAACCTAAACCATGATCAACCACTTGGATAAACTCAGATAACTCAGATCAACTTGGAGCAGACTCGTTTGCAACTAAAGTGACTGATAAAGTGATACTGGGTTTTAGCAGCTTCGAGAGTTGGAGAATTTGGAGGTGAAGTGACTGTTTTTGGATTTGCAAAGCATTCTGCTGCTTGCCATCAGAAAGTTCACCCATGTATTAAATGTATGTTCGTCACGTTCGTCCTGCGGTGAAGATTTGCAAGAAAGGACACGCACCATCGACGACTGCTGCTATCGCTGTACCTATCACAATCCCAGTGGCGACGAGGATAAGGTGTGTGAGTTGGGAAGTAATAGATAATTGCCGCCAAAGTGCGTAGATCCCTGACATTTGAGGCAGCTAGTGCAGCCGTGTCTGAACATATTTTTATTATACTGAAAGAGCAAGATAGGGCTTTGCCACAACTAAAGGAACCTTAAATGCCCCAAATGTACCCAAGCGTGGACTTGTCGCAAGGGGTTGAGGGCCCATACTCAACCTCACCAGTTCCTTTGGTACGATAGAGCCCCAGTACTTTCCGTGCGAGCCTCCCAAGCCTCCAGGAATGCACTGCTTTTCAATTCATGGAGTCACCCTCGGGGGCCCGCTACTGCGTGCTGGCGACACTCAGCTTCAGCAGAAACCATAGGCCCTCACCCTAGGCCTAGGAGTTGAGACGGATTCTCCCAGCTGTGCTGTGCAATGATGACCCTTGTACTCTTAGCATCTCTTAGCAAACTGAAGAAATCTGATGGATAGATTCTGGAAAGTTGCCTCTTTGAATGACTTCAAAACTTTTGCGGAATTTGCATCCGAGGAGTGGAACAGCCTACAACGCCTCGATGGCAGATCCTCAGGGCCAGTGGTTGGTAAAGATGCCAAAAAGCGAATGGCCTGCGAGCTACGTGACCTCGACCTCAACAACTACAGTCACTACAGTCACTACTACCACGGTGACTACCACGACCGTCACGACCACCACAACCACAGTGACGACAACCACCGAAACTCAAACCACAACTACTTTCACGAAGACAACCAGGACCATGACCATTCCAAACACAACAACCACTACCAATGCATCTGCAAAGTCGACTGAAACAGAGACATCCACAACGACAACTGGCATCACAACAACCATCACATTGACCACAAGCGAAGAAGAGAGAGATTTCCATGAAATGGGCCTCTCGGCTTGCACTCATTGCACCATTTTCCTGTATAGACACATGCTGCATAATCCACTCTTCTGAACACAGAAAACCAATCAAACTCCTTTATGAGGGTTCTGTCACATTGGCTCCATGTCTACGCGTCGATGTTTCAGATAGCATACCTTTATGACAGACATCCAGACAGTGGGTACAGAATGGTACAGAATCTTATTGAACCATGGAACATATCAACAAGATTCAACAAGCTGAGCTGCGTACGCGATGCACTCTGACATTCTCCTTGTGGCAGTCGATGCTTGGGGCTTTCGTTGCTTTCGTTGCTTTCGTTGCTTTCGTTGGCGGTTTGGGATCACCAGGCGCCCCAGAGGAAGAGGCAAAGATTCCGGAAGCGCCGAAAGAACCGGCACAGTGGTTGGTCGGGGTGCCCAGCTTCCCCAGAACTTCCCAGAACACCCCAGAACACTTAAATTCTAAAAACCTTAAAGATCCTTAAAGACCTAAAGGTTCTGCTGATGGCCGAGATTAGCTTGCTGTACCGGCTTTAGATTTGATCGCCGTCAATTCTCCTAACCTTCGAAGTTCTGCACATCACATTGCAGTTCGACATGTCGAGGTGGCCACAAGGACTGAAAGCTGCGACGCGACCTGTGCATCAGTGGGTGAACAGTGCGATTTCGCACACTTGAACCTGGACAGCAACGATAGAGACGTATTTGACATATTTGACGTATATTTGACATATCGACATATCTTTGACATATATTCGACATTCAAACTTACCAGACTCACCAGCCCAGGCTCTGAAGTTTGATTTCAAGGACTCAGATGTTTTATTTTTGTGCGTCTACCCATTCCGTCCTTGTCGTACAACTTCAGGAAGGCCACAGCCGACTCACAGCGAGAGACACAGATAGCTTTCGCACCTCGGTTTTCTCGATAGATGTAAAGCTGATGCTCCGAAGCTCAGCCATGCCAGTCCTTTATGTTGATTATGAAGTAGCTTACTTCATAAAAACGAGCGGTCAGCTGTGGTTCTAGAGTGTCACGATCTTGGTCCCCGCCCTGTTTCCACTTCGGATTGTAACGCCATGTAACGCCCCAGGCACAAGCCGGTTTCTCTTGTCTGAGCTTCGGCACGGGCTGCTCCCCGGAGGTGCGCGTCAATTGCATGGTAGGAAGTAAGTGGGCAGGGTGAAATTTTCCAGAATCACATATAAAATATATCATGTCATTATACATTAATATACATTATACATTAATATACATTATACTCATTATACATTAATATTAAATATATATATATATGACATTATATGACATTATATTCTATACATTATATATACACACATGTCATATACAAACTTCCCCTCAAGGCACTCCCCTTGGCACAGGACTGTCCTAGCTGGGGCGCTCCATTTTTGCACCAGAGTTTCATGGATGGCTCCACTCGCCAGCGAAATGGCCAGGCACAGGGCACAAACTTTGCACACGAAGTCAGGGAAGATTCGGAACTGTTCCAAACTTTGCAAAGATTCCAACAATTGGAAAATGTTGGGTAAAATGTTGTAAAATGTTGTAACAGTCCATGGACACTTTATAGATCTTTATAGTATTATAGAGCAGTTTCATTCTCTGCAAAAATACATGCCGCTGTGCACCTCCACCCCCGCCCAACAGGCCCTGTAGCTAGCGCAGCTAGGCTTTAGCAGAGTAGGTCTCTCATATTCCTCAACTTGAATGGAGTGTGAATGGAGAAGAGTTGCATCTTCCTCTTTTTGGTCACTCCAGGGAGACCCGTGCTTCCTGGGAAACGATGTTGCATCTTGTGATCAAGTTCCAGCGGACCTCAACCATCGTCGCCTGTGCCCTTGCAGCGTTAAGAATGCCAACGAGACCGTGGTCGGGTGACTTGGCTCCTTTAGGAAGGCTATCATAGGCTATCACACCTCAGACTTTTGAGGTCATGTCACGGTCATGTCCAAGGTCAAGATCTACTTTCATAGTCAGTGGCATCAGTGGCAATCTTGTGCTTACTTTTTGTGTTTGTTGTGTTTGTGTATTTTAGAAACTTTGTCAAGCAAACTTGCAGGGACATCCTTTCCATAGATTTCCGCCAGCTATGAGAGGTCCCTAAGCATTTCAGTCCTGACACGCTCAGGTATGAAGTTTTGGAAGTCTCCAATGTCCAGACTTTCCTCAGCTCAAATGCCATCAAGGAGTTGAATGAAACTTGCGTTGAGAAGTCAGTCTACAAGATAATGTCCCAGTCCACAAGCATTTTCCAACATCAGTGGGCTGGCTTGTGGTGTGATCATCGAATGCCATCTGAATTGTGCCAGTCGAGACGAGTTTATTTTCACCACCTCAAGGGTGGTTCTTTCATGTTTTTTCCTAGCTTCTTTAAACAGGGATCCATTTTCTTGATTTTCACTTGCAAAAAAAGGCAGAAACGAATCGACAGAAATCAAACGAACTTTCCACCTGCCCGTGAGTTGGCGCTCTTAATTTTAAACGTTTCATGCCAGATTTCCAACTCACACCGTGTTGTGCAACCTGAACAGGACTCGATTATCGAAGCAGTGGCTCTCTTAGCCGACGTTCCAAAAGCGGCCGTGAAGGCGAGCAATGGGGTAAGGATTTTGGGGTCAAACTCAAATGGGACAACGACCAGTTATAGTTACATGATGTTACATGATGTTATCTCATCTTCAATCTATGCATCCTGCGCCATGGAGTTCATCCTCCCAACATATTTGGATGATGTGATGATATTGATGATGTATTGCCACAGTAGTGCTGCAGTTTTGCAAAACCGCCTGGTCTAGAGGAGCTCCTGTTTTGAGAACTGTGGCCTTGCAGGTTTTCTTGCAATATCTGAAGACCGAAAACGACCCCGAAGCTGCTGCACAGCCGGGCTCTGTGGTCCCTTGCCAGCGAAGGAGCTGAAGTTCAGCACGACATTTGGTTGTAGATGTTGCATGACGGTCTACTTTTTAATAAACATTTTATGTAATCTACATAACTTCACCATCCGCATGGCTCCTTTGAAATGTCAATTTCATTGTCATTGTAAACCTGATCTGGATGGGCCAGTCCTGGTGTCTAAAATGCCTGATTCTTGATGCTACCTTGGGCGCTTTGATCTGAATCTGAAGCAGCGCGTTTCAGTGGCTTTGGATATCTTTGGAACCAGTCTTCCTGGTCTCTAGTAACTTTGTTGGAGCCAGTGACTCCAACAACATCACTCTCCCATTTCATCACTTTGCCTCAGAAATTCTGGTCATAGCAAAAGCAATCCTTGGAGAACACGAAGGCCGAAATATGCCGAAATGACATCTCTGCTACCGGAGGTCATGGTGCATGTGATCAATGCATCAGCTACTTGCAAGACGCCAGAAGTCACTTGGACCAGAGTTGATTCGAGGTGATGGGGCTGGAGAGTCGGCTCCTGATTGCGACATTTCTAGAGATGGGTCTGAGGAAATCCAACTGTATACTTAGGAGAATCTTAGGAGTATCTTAGAGTCTTAGAGTATCTTAGAGTATCTTAGAGTATCTTAGAGTCCTGAGAACGGCAAACTTGTAGTTGTGAGCTGTTGAGCTAGTGTATAGACAGTGGAATCAGATGGAATCAGTTGAGATTGCAGGACTTGACCACTTCCGTTCCAGAGTTCCGAAATGTTTCCAACATCCCTGTGGTTCTCCGGTGTGCAAAGGTTATTCGTATGGCGCTGGAAGCTGATGCTCGTGCGGACACAGTAGACAAGGCCGGACATTTCGGGGCAGTTTGTTAAAGTACATTGTTCACAAGTCCACAAAGTGGTTGTGGTCCATGTTGATTGTGTTGGCGTATCGGTTGTTGGTAAGTTTAGCAATGCTGAACTCAGGATTCTACCTGCCTCGTCCTTTTACATGTCTGGAAACGAAGAGTGAAGTAGTTTGTTCCGGGGAATTTTGGCAATTTCTTCATTATGTTCATGAAAGAAGTTTTGAGAAACAAGATGTAGCACCCCTGTTCATTTGTGCGAACTATTGCACCCTAATTACCCTCTTACGGCTTCTGAAGTTCGCTTCAATTTTCATCCAATATTTTATTTTCAAGTTGTGTATACGTAGAGTAAAGTAATGTATGCACGAATTATCACGAATTCATAGTGCGCCGTGAATGGAATGCAGCTTCAGACAATTATGTATTTATATAATATTATATGATATTATATACATAATATATATATATATTAATATACATGTATTATTTTATATATTATATGTGTATATATATATATGTATATATATATAGACATTTCATGCCTAGTGTACCGCAAATCTCATTGCTCCGGATGTAGAGCATGCATAACATGCTCTTGTAAAATCTTGTAGGTGTATTACTGTATACAGTAGATAAAAATGCACACAAGCACAATATATGTATATGTATAAGATGTACGTGTGTGTATATATATATATATACATACACATCTCTGTCAATGCCGTTGATGTGTGACGGTTTCCTGGAGGTGCTGAAGCCTTTGCTTGAAGCGGAGGGACCCTTCGAGGAAGTGGGTCCAGGCTCATGCAGAGATGCACAAGGGAATCTCAGCACAGTTTTAAGATGCTTTAAGAGTTGCGTCTTCCAAGGTGGATTCGTAGACACTATTAGAATCTATTAGACACTGCCTGATGGGCAAAGGATGTCAGGAGTTCTTCATGTTTTTGCATGCATTGTTTGTACTGACTTTGACACTGTCACAGATTTGATTTTCATGTTCAGTACATTCCCTGCAAGCGTCGCTTTGTTTTGTTGCAACCAAGGAATGAGTACGATGTCTTGAGCCACGATGCGCTTGACACGCTCAAGGGTTGTCACTTGGCCGATAAATTGCACTCTTCGTGCTTTGACTGCCAACATAGTAGATGGACACAGCTGCAAGGTCCATAGTTAACTGAAGCATTCCCCAGAGAAACAGGATTACTGAATTTTCCGAAGGCAAAGATGCGTGCATGCTATTCACTGCAGCGAAGTGCCATGGGTTCAACTTTGAAGCAGGACAGGAATGCAGAGTTGGTAACAGGCTTGCTTGGGACTGCAACCTTATCCGCAAAGTCGGTTTGAATACTGTGGCACCACGGAGCAGAAATGATTGGGCTTCAGCAGAAAATGAAGAACATGAATAAGAACATGAGAAAGAAATGACAACTTTTGCAACTTGTATTCAATTGACTCAAGTCTTGACTTGGAGGCAGCCGCTGTCCCATCCTGCAAGCATCCGGCTGATACAAGTTCCCTTCATCCCTGGTTTTATTTGTGGGTTCCTGAGCAGCCAATTGCGGTGGGTTTGAATCAGGACGGTGTCAGCTGCGCATGGAAGATGGCTTCGCGGAGGCTCTTCTGACTTTAGCACCACCAAAGCACATATGGATGATTTCATGATCATCTCCATCTTGATGTACATTGTATTAATACAATGTACATTAGTGATAATCATTAATGTATATTATGGATATACATACCTGTGCCCTTTGTCGCTTGTGGTGATTTCAATCTGAGACATGTTGTGTCTTTTTCCAAAGCTCGCTGCATTTTTCTCAGTTCTGCCAGGCCTCTGGGGACTGGAAGCTGTCCTGGGATGCTGGCACAGCACAAGGCAGCGTCGCCAGCGCATCGGAAGGCACTGCCAGGTGCGGTATCGTCCGGGCGTTGAGAGTCGTTGAGAGATATTGAGAGATGTTGAGGGCCTTTTTTCTCAGTACTTCAAGCTGTCAACATTGGGTACGCGGAGGGACAGACTATGACTCTTGAACTGTTATGGTGGTGGTTTTGTTTTTTGAGCTTGTTCGGTCTTCTCTTTTTTTGCGATCAGCGTTTGTGTGTTGCACCAGCGTCACCCCTTCGTCCCGATGTTCTTGGCAAAGTGAGTCATGGTGCCAGGTGCTTTCGACGGACAGATGTGAAAGATCTGAAAGCAACCGACAACTCTACGGAAACGGAGCAAGACGAGAGCATTTTGCATCTTGGCACTACCCATCCTGCGGGAACAGAAGCACACAATCACATTGTATGTTGAGTATTGTTGAGTGGGAGTTCATGGACTTTAATGGACTTTCAACGCCTTTGATATCTTGGCAACGATGTATTTTTTCTTTAGACTCTTTCAGTTTTTTCTCACCAAGGTCCAGCATTGCTGACTTCGTGCCGAACATTGGCAATATCTTCTCCGGCTTTGGGAACCTCTTCCGCTGACAGAAAGCGAACTGGATCAGAGCTGTCAGAGAACTTTTGCCAGAGAGGCAAAATGAGGTGAGGCAAGTGTGTCTTGCAAAGTTGTAAAGCCATGCAAAGCTTACTGTGGAGTGCAGTCATTGCGGAACATTGCAGTAAGGCAGTATAACTATACTTTTTTTCGTTTGTTATTGTTTGTTCGATGTTTCTACGAAGTGTCAAGGCTGTCACACATAGCATGGTAACTTTTCCGTGGTGCCTGGTGTCTCAGTCGAGTACCCCTCAGAGTAGCTGGCATGCGGGAACAATGAGTCCAGCGGAGTGTCTTAAAAGTCATCCCTTCTGCAAGTTGGATGTGTTTCCTTCCATCGAAACAAAGAGAAAGAACAGCCCGACAAACCATGTAGAAAGAAGCTCAAACCAGCGCTTGCTTTCCTTCGAAATCCCCGTTGCTTTTGCCTGTTGCTCCTAATTAATCTTTCAGAGCAGACTTACATACATGATCATACTAGTATACAGTATAATGTATTCACCCCGCTTCGCGTGGGGGTGGCCGCCCACACCGCAGGTTTATTTCGGTCCGTGAGAGGGGCTAAGGGTGGTTTTCCCCCGTGGGGGCTCCCCAAGCTAAGAATTTTCACTTCCCCCCCCCCGTGGGGGCTCCCCAAGCTAGGGAATTTTCACTTTTCCCCCCCGTGGGGGCTCCCCAAGCTAGGGAATTTTCACTTTTCCCCCCCGTGGGGGCTCCCCAAGCTAGGGCATTTTTACTTTTCCCCCCCCCGTGGGGGCTCCCCAAGCTAGGGAATTTTCACTTTTCTCCCCCCGTGGGGGCTCCCCAAGCT